AATGTAAAGAAAACAAAAATCCTCACCACTGGACCAATAAACAACATTCTTATCAACGGAGAAAAGATTGAAGTTGTCAAGGACTTCATTCTTCTTGGATCAACTATCAACACTCACGGAAGCAGCAGTCAGGAGTTTAAATGACGTATTGCATTAGGCAAATCTTCTGCACAAGACCTTTTTAAAGTGTTGAAGAGCAAAGATGTCAGCTTGAGGATAAGGTGCACCTTACCCAAGCCATGGTGTTTCCAATAACCTCATGTGCATTTGAAAGCTGGACACTGAATAAGGAAGACCGTAGAAGAATTGATGTGTTTGAGTTGTGGTGTTGGAGAATATTGAAAGTGCCATGGGCTGCCAAAAGAACCAATAGATTCATTTTGGAAGAAGTGCAGCCAGAGTGCTCCTTGGAGGCCAAGATGGCCAAATTTCGTTTCTCATATACTTCAGACATTTTCAGGAGTCACTGGAGAAGGATATCATGTTTGGTAAGGTGGAATGTCAGAGAAAGAGAGGAAGATCCCCCAATGAGATGGACTGGCAACATCGATGGGCTCTAGCGTGGCAACAGTAGTGAGATTGGCCCAGGATTGGGCTATGTTTCGTTCTCTGTGTACAAAGTCGTTATGGGTCGGTACCGACTCGGTGGCACCTAACAACAACAATCTTGACAAGTTTTCTAAAAGGACACAGGACGAACACGGAGTCTTATTAGGAAAAAAAAATTTTTTTAAATGTTTTATTGTGAATTATGTGATAGTTTACATGGGAGAACATTAGCTTTACCTTCATCCTATCATATATTGTTTCCTTGCCATGGCTACAATCCCCTCCATGCATCATCAATCAACCAAAGGGTATACCCCCCAAGCCTACCCCCTTGTCATCAGCACACAGCCCCTCTCCCTCTCTGGGTCTACAATCCCCAGCTGCTCCCTTTCTTCACGTCATCATCTCTGTGCCTCCATCTCTGGTATCACTGCTTCTCTGGGTAGGGTCCCACACTCTGCTTTTCTCCCTTGATGGTCCCAGGGACCTCTGCTCCTGGACTGCAAAGTCAACCACTCCCCTCCTTTTGGTACAAAACATCTACCTCTGCATTTCCAACCCTCACAATCAGTCCTGATAGTAATTATTCACTGTTGTACCACAAGAGACCTATCCCCATCTCCTTTTATCAGCCCTGCCCATACAGATTGGATACTACTCACTGGAGATTCTACCTTCCTCTGTGGCCTCTGGATCTAGGTTCCTGCTTGAAAGCTTGTAAGCCAGTCACTTCTTGCCTTTGTAGCCCCGCCCCCCCCATTTGGGGTAGCCAATGTTCAAGTTGCCCATCCCTGTCTACTCTGTGTATGGAGGGGGTGGGAATGATCATCACTGTAAAGATTTGTTCCCCCTTTTGAGCTACTGCATCCATAGGTGTAGGTCAAGTTCATCAAATTGTATCAGATTACTTTTTTCCTCTTATTTCTTCTTCTAGTTGAGTTCTGATCCTCTAGCCATTGAAGCCAGGTCAAGTGGGTATTATCTGCAAGTGTGGGTGTTCTTATGCATATGCCCTCTCTTCTTATCAGCTGGACGTTTCACTGTCCACTCTAGTTCTCTTGTGGCTGTCTCACTGACTCTGGGCCCATGAGTTCCCAGGTCTTGCCACACTGCTGGCCAACCAGGTCTCCACCAGGGTTTACAGGAGTCTATTGAACGTGGTAGGGCTTAGCTTGCTGCTTCATTGCTGTTTTTCCCTCACTTAGGAAGAAGTTTTAAGAAAATTCAAAACTCCGTTGGTGCGAAAAAGGTCAGGAAAGTTGCCCCAAGGAATTTGTTTATCACTATGGACCAACCTATATTCTTCTAGGGTAGCAAGGGTGGTCCGACAAGCATCTTATCTAGAAGCCTCATCCCACCTACCCTACAGCCCTGGTCTTGCCTCAGCAGACTTCTTTTCGTTCCCCAAACTCAATATTTAAAAGGAACACAATTTGAGTCCCTTGAGGATGCTAAAGCTACCATTTTAGTGTGGTATAAATCAAAGAGCACAGATTTTCCAGGGAAGGGTTAGAAAGCTATGAACACTGCCTTCTGAAGTGGATAGACCTAGGAGGAGAGATGCTGAGAAATAACAGCTTCACATTTCAATTTGTTTGTTTGTTTGTTTCAATAGCACTATTTATTTGACTTAACCCTCACATGTCACCCCATTGTATAAATCCCCCACAAGTACCTCGCCTACCAATGGATGTTTGGCTTGCTCCCGATTTTTGTGACTATGAACAGTCTTCTCCGTAGCTCCTGGTGCTGATGTACAAGAGCCTCTCCAGGAGAGAAGAGCGAACCTCACAGGCTCTTCCATTAGCACACTGTCTGTGTGTCTCTTGTTTCCTGTAGACCCACAAAGCACCTGAATAAAACCATCTGCGCAGTGGCCCCGGTCCCGGCCTTACCCGGCATGGTAAGTTTCAAGTGTCTCTCATTCTTCTTCAGTGAATTTGAGCCTTTTTTCCCCTCAGAAATTTTTTACTAGCTTTGGATATATAAATATGAAAGAGCTCACAGTTCACTTGGAAAGGCAGGCAAGTCACCAAGCAGGCAAGCTAGAAGGGCAGGGATGTGATTATCAGTGGATGCCATGGGACAGAGAGCAGGGCCCCTACCTGAACGCATGGCAGTCAGCTCTCTGGAGGAGGTGACAGCTAGGCTGGCCTCACTGAGCCAGGGGAGCTGAGTAGGCGGAGCTCACTGTGTGTCTAGGTTTTGCAGTAAGCTCAGAGCAGCTGCAGGTCAGGTATATGTGGGGTGGGGCCGAAGGGCCAGGACACCAGACTTCAGGGATGGACTTGACTGGGATGTGGGTTGACCAAGCAAGGGGTTAAAACTGGCGTGCGGCATATCAGAGAAGATGAACATGGAGGGGTGTCCTTGAGGAGACAGATCCCACAGTTCTGAGCTAACCGAAGATGAGGGAGGTATCACAGTGGGTCACAGAAGAAGTTGGTATCACAGCTGGTCCTGGCTTGGGGTCTTTGCAAAGCTGATGTAACCTGTATGGGGTCTGCTGAAGCCCAGGCCTGGAAGAAAGTCTGTGGTTCCCAGTGCGGGCCTGCTAGATGTCAGAGGCCTGTTGAATCGCCTGAGGAGCTTCCAAGAAAGTCCAGGCTACAAATGTAGGTACAGAAGCGTGGTTGTTGGCTTCATGAGCTCTGCAGGCCCCCCAATCAGAGAGAGGAGGTGGATAGGAAAGAGGTTCTGGGGGGGAAGGAAGAAGGGGGGGGGGGGGGCTCCTGTCACTTGCAGAACAAGCAGAGGAAGATGAGCTCACAGCACAGACTGAGAGGGATACCCATGGAAAACCAGGAGAGTAGGTCCCCAAAGCTAAGGGTCAGAGACACCGAACACAGTGAAACCTGTCAGAGCCCCAGCTCAATGGGACTGCCTTGTTCATCCTGGACTTGCACGTTTCCCACCTGTGACAAGGTGCAATCTTACTTATCACTTGTTTTAGTTTAAAAAAAAAAAACAAAAAAAGTGAGTCTTCCTTCTCTGACAGGTTTCTGTCTTATGCAGGTTCCGTGTTTTGCAGGTGTTACTGCACCTCATACAGAACAGCAGCCCAGGCAGGGCAGGGCTGGTGGTCCATGAGTGTAGGCACAGGAGTGAAGGTGCTGAGTGGAGCGGTTCTCCTAAGACGTTTGGGTGTGAAGGGGCAAAAAGTGGTTGGAAGAGGCTAGAGACTCAGGAAAGGGCATCCTAAGGATTGGAGGCAGTTCAGAAGGGTCATCTACTGAGGAAAGGGCCCAGGCTGGAGAGAGGGTGTCGGAAGAGGGCAAGGAAGGCCACCGGGGACAGGTGTAAAACTCAGTCATGAGTACGTGGAGATGCTCGGGAGCCAGGGTACCAGCACTGGATCAAGCTTAGCTCTGGATGTGGGCCTGGGTTCTTTTGTTTGAACTCTTCACTGTGAATTGAGTAAAGATTTACAGAGCAGATTCTGAGTTTTACATCCAACAAATCAGACACTTCATGTCATCTCAGCAATCACAGTCGCCTCCTTGTGACTTCACCACCCACTTCCTCCCTGGGTTTCCTGTTTCCTGTCCTCCTTGTTTCCCAACCCTTCTCATTTGTTAACATTGATGGCAGCACAGTGGGGAAAGCGCAGAGGACACAGGTGTTTTCTGCCATTCCCTGGGTCAGGCTGGCTGGACCCAGAGACCCAGTGCGCAAGAGTTGATAAACTCTCTCTCTGCGTCTGATTTTCGTGTCCATCTGCTTCTCCCATTCCACACTGGGGCCACCTCTAGACTACCTTCCCGTGGCTGACAAGAGTCCAGCAGGAGTTCCCACTCTCTGTCTCTGCTTCCCAGGTGCTGATCTTTTCCTGGGACGGCTCTGTGCGCCTCATGGATGTGGCCAAGCCTGAAATCCTCTGTGCCTTTGCTCCACCCAGATCCTACCACTTAGCGGTCCCCTGGAAGCCAGTATTTGTCGTGTCTTTACACCATCCGTGTTTCCTGCTTCGAGGTATGGAAGGTGGAACATGCCCTGACCTGCTCATTTGTCTGATTTCTCAGTGCCCTTACCTAGCAATAGGAGGCTGCATGCAACCCCTTCCCAATTCTGCACTCTCTTCACCCCAGGCCCAGAGGACATTGTCGGAGTGCCTGGCAAATCTTTTTTTCTGGTCTCCTTCTTTGAACAAGTGAGCCCCCTCCATAGCCCAACCCAGACACGCAGCCTTAGAGACAGAGAACGGCACATGTGCCCACCTGGGCTTAGGGCCTCTTGTCCTCCCCACACTGCCTACCACCACACAGACCATTGAGAAAGCTGTCATCAGGAAGAACCTGGACTCTGGTCTCTTTTCAGGAGACCATCCAGATGAAATTGAATGTACCAGTAATGCCAACGAGATCAGAAATGTTGTTTTCTATTTCAACTTGGAGGCCTACCCACTCCTGGAAAAGATCTCAGGGACAGGCACCATTTCTCAGAGTGATGTGACTAGTAACAAGGCGCTGCCTTTGGAGAGGAGATGCCAGCTCTTCCTCCAGGAGAGGTAAAGAATTCTGTGCCTATATCCAATTCTGGCGTCTGGGGTTATATCTGGATTAAGGGAAAGTGGGGTTTGCTTGATGGTGGGATCCTTTCAGCTTTTAAATTCTCCCCTAGGCTGTTATGATTCCACCATATTGTAACACATAAGCCACACTCCAACTCAAGTTCAACTTGGTAGAAAAGTTCCATGTTGTGCATTCTTTCTGTCAAGACCATCTTGTCTTTTCACTTTCTCAATTCTGCATTTAAGTAAACAAACATGTTTGGACTATTGTTGTTATGTGCTGTTGAGTTAGTTCCGACTCACAGTGATGCTGGTCAGTGTTTCCAGAACTCTTGAATCTTCACGGGAGCAGATAGCTTCAGCTTTCACACACGGAGTAACTGGTGGACTCAAACCATAGACCTTGTGGTTCACAGTCCAGTGCTTATTGAACAGAGCTACCGCGAGGTACAATCATTTAAGACAGATGCTGGAAAACTATATAGTCTGTGGGTCAAATCCGGCCCACTGTCTGTTGTAAATAAAGTTTTATTGAAACACAGCCATACTCATTTACTTACATATTATATAGGCGTACTATGAGCTACAGCTGCAGACTTCAATAATTGGAACAGAGATCATATGACCCTTAAAGTCTAAAATATTTACTATCTGACCTTCATAGAAAGTATTTGCCAACCCCTGATCTAAGGTCACTTTCCCTTAACTATCATCTAGAGCACAGAGCTGTTATCTGATACCCATGGGGTTGACATGGGTCAGAGTTAACTCTACAGCAGCTGGTTTGTTTTGTATGACAATGATGGGGCCATTGGTGGGTCAGTGGTGGAATTCTCGCCTTCCATGTGAGGAACCCAAGTTTAATTTCTGGCCAATGGACCTCATGTGCAGCCACAGCCCACCCATGTGTTATTGGTGGTTTGTGTGTGCTACGATGATGAACAAGGAGTTCTGGTGGATTGTGCTTTGGGCTGCTAATCAAAAGGTCATCAGCGTGAATCCACCAGCTGTGCCGCAGGAGAAATATGAGGCTTTCTACTCTCACAAAGATGAACAGCCTCAGAAACCCTCTACAGAGTCACTATGAGTTGGAACCAACTCAACAGCACCCAACCACCAACCACCACCATCATATGAAACAGATTTCAACAGAGCTTTCAGACTAAGACTAGGAAGAAAGGCTTGGCTATCTACTTCTGAAACTAAGCAAATGAAAATTCTATGGATCACAACAGTCTTACCCACACCCGATGATGAGGATCATTCAGGACTGGGCATTTCATTCTGTTGTGCATGGAGATTTGGAGGGCTGACTGCAGCAGCTAACAACATGCTAGAGATGATGACTTGCCTCCCTGTGAATCAAATTTATTCCTGGGGAAATTCTAGACTTCACCACCAGGTGGCCCTAGATCACATCCTCGCTTTCCCTCTCCTGACTGCATTTACTCATGGCACTGTAGTTGTGGCTTGCCTGTACTCATATTAGGGTTTGCTTGGGTAGCTTTCAGCCCTGATTTTGCCCCTACAGACTTCGTTTTGTTCCCCAAACTCTAAAAGACGTTAAAAGGAACACAATTTGTGTCCTTCAAGGATGCGATGTCAAACTGCCATTTTGATGTATAAATCAAAGAGGGCAGAACTCTTCAGAGACCCACTTTCTGGCTGGCTGACTGCCACGCTTGGACTCTTGAAATCTCCCATCCATGTAGGTGTCATGGGGCAGGTTTGAGAGCTGCAGGCACATGAAGCAAATGAGACCCTGGGTCCCACTGGCCATCAGGGCATCCTGGAGCCTGGGCCATGTGTGCCCACACCCATACCATCCTGCCATTTGGTTTCACATGGGCCTGCACCAGGGACTGGGGTGTGTGCGTGTAGCACTCCTCCACCCCCCACCCCACCACCACAAGACCAGTCCCTTGCTGGGGCTGGGGCAGCCCTCCATCTGACTCTCTACAGGGCTCCAGTGCAAAGTACCTGGGCCCAGATCAACTACAAAGAACACCACTGCTCTGAGGCCCTGGAGCAAGCAGCCACACACTTTCAATGGTTTATTTTTCATCTACAGGGGTGCCACCAAACGTACTCCATGCCTTCTTCACCATGGCATAGACTGTCATTACACAAATAGGACCCAAAGAAACATTTTCAGATTTTTTTAAGGAGGGTGAACGAGGCCAACATTAACTCCTGGAAAAGTCACAAGACATGCGTGGTATATGCCTGGGTGCGCTATGCCTGACTTTTGTACAAATTTTCATCATTTCTGTGTATTACATATGTGTGTGTGTTATTTTCATGGGTGTGCTATTTGCAAAATCCAGATGGTTCTTTTAAGTTACACATGTCTTACTGCACTGAGCACTAGACACAGAGGTATTTCACTCCTGAGCACAGAGCTCAAAACAAACCCCCAACCATGATCCCTGTCTCTCCTCCAGAAGTGTGCCGGGAGAGATGAAGCCTGTGTTGGCCTCGAGTTTCCTGAGTTAGTACAAGCGTGGTCAGGCTCTTCCCTGGGGACCTGGGCTTGTGGCTACAGCACGAAGTGGGTTCCTCTGATCTTCCGTTGTATGACCCCCCAGGTTCCAGAAGCTGGAGAAAGACAGGACGAAAGAACAGGAGCACTGGACCCGGCTTCGGAGGTACTTGTTGGTACTGCAGAAAGACAGCTTTACCAAGTGACTCGACCACCACCCTGGGGTCCTCTAGGAAGGCACCTGCCCCCCGGACACCTGAGTCGAAGGCAGCTGATGACAAAGTACAATGACATAGAGCCAAGCTCCCCAGGCCCAAGAGTGCAGTCTGTGGCCATTGCAAAGCCAGCAGGTGCAAAGGTGCTATTTTGGGGGTCTTCAAGCACTAGTCATCTTGTCAGACCCCTGAGGCGGGCAGGACTTGTTAACCAAATAAACAGTTGTATTGTGTTTCAGAAACCAAAGTTTCTGTGGTTTTGTAAGTTATTGTTCATCAGCAGGACCCAGCTAATGACTCCAACCAGAGTCCCAGGCCTTCTGAGGGTCACTCACCTCATAGGCCAAGACAGCCACTTTCTTAAATGAGCAAGATGCCCCACATGCCCTGGCTTCAATGTGGCCTTCTTGTTTCTCCACCCACTGTATTCCCTGCCCTATGATGCGGTGTGTGGTGCTGTTGGATCTGCACTGGGCTGCGGACCACAAGGTCGGCACTTCAAACCCACCACCTATGCCTCAGAAACCCTACACAGGTTTGGAATGAATAGGAACTGACTCGACGGCACTTAACTGCTTCATAACCTTGGCAGAATTATTTTTGAAGAGTTTGAAGCTCTGTGGGGTTTAGTGACTGGTTGCCCGAGGCCACACAGGTGTGACAGGCATAGTCAGGGCAAGGGCCAAGCGGCAAGTCAGGAACTGTAGTACTCTGCTGGCCCAAGAACCTTAGAGGAGGTTGGGGTTGAATTTCTCTACAAACTAAGAGACTGGATGGAGAGGTGGCTAGCCATTTGAGGGCTAGATTTGCCTCTCTGAGGACACCATGTGGTCCCTTTGAGAACTGCAGATGGCTAGCCATGTCCCAACCCCTAAGGGGACCCACTGTAGGTATCTGATGGTGATAGTGGTGGTTGTGTACCATGGAGTCGGTTCTGACTCATAGTGACCCTGTTTTCTGAGGCTGTAAATCTTCACGGGAGCAGAAAGCCTCATGTTTCTCCCACAGAACAGCTGGTAGTTTCAAACTGCTGACCCTGTGATTAGCAGCCCACCTCGTTAACTACTAGCTACCCACCTCGTTAACTACTAGCTACCAGAGCTATTTGTTATTAAGTGCCTTCGAGTTGGTTCTGACCCATAGCGACCCTGTACAGGGTTTCCAAGGCTGTAAATGCCTCGGGAGCAGAACGCCTCATCTTTCTCCCGGGAAGTGGCTGGTAATTTCAAACTGCTGGCCTTAAGGTTCACTACCTACCAGAGCTCTGTTTTTTGTGTGCCCTCCTCATCTCTGCCCCTGGGCCATACACCATGCTCTTCTTAGCATGTCATCTACCAAATGGCCTTGGGACTGCCTGTCCCCTAAGGGAAGGAGTCATGCCTCCCTCCCCCGCCCCAGACATTTTGTCTTTTCTCCTCCCAACCCTGGAATGATAACAGAGCAACAATAACAAAAACAACAACAGCAACTTTATAAGAATTCCTTTCCCCTTGGGCCACACCAGACTCTACACAGCAGGCACTGTGGCAGCTCTGTTTGAAAGTGATGGAGAACTAACGTTTATGGAATATCTATGGGAGGTTTGGGAGTCCTGGTGTGGCGCTGTGGGTTAGTGCGCCAGACTGCAAAGCCGTTTGAACTGCAAGGTCGGAGTTCAAGCTCACCAGATGCTCCTCGGAAACCCTACAGGGTCACTGGGGGCCGGAATCGACTAGATGGCACTTCACAACAACATGGGAGGTTTGCTATACATTTAAGCCTAAGTAACCTTGTAAAGAAGCTCTAGTAGTATAGTGGTTATGAATCGGGCTGCGAGCTGCAAGGTCAGCAGTTCAAACTATCCGCTGTTCCGTGGGAGAAAGATGAGGCTTTCTGCTCCCGTAAAGATTTACAGCGTCGGAAACTGTACAGGGTCGCTATGAGTTGGAACCGACTCCACAGCACACAACAACAACAACAAACCTAGTGAAATGTGGGGATTATCCTTATTCTCATTCTATTGATAGGGAGTTAGACAATTTAGAATGGCCTGTATTAAGTCCACATGGACTTTTTCAACAGCAGGTGTCAGGAAACCAACTCTGGCTTTAGCAAAAGTAGAATTTGTTGGCTCATAGAACTGAGAACCCCAGAGTCACGGTATAGTTTGGATGCAGGTGTTGAAATAGCATCAGGATTTCCCCTCCATCTCTCAGCTCTGAGTCCCTTTCAGGTGGTCCTCAGCAGCAACCAGAGTGCGCTTCCCTTTTTCAATGGTTCTAGCCAACATTCTGAGCCTGCGCCTCACAGGCGTGAACATGGTCATGGGCCTGAAAGACTCATGCCATGCTGGTCCAGGTCTGCAGCGTGACAAAGGCCATGTCCACCCAAATGAAGGGCTGAAAGTTGGGGAGAGCTGCCTGAAGAAAGGAACTCTCTGTGCTGTAAGGGGACAAGGCAGAAGGGATGCTGGACTGGCAAAACAATGGAGGTGTCCTGTCCAAGGGGAGACAGCTCTGCCTTCCAAAGTCACGTGTGCCAACAGGAAACTGACTCCTCATTTGCTAGCGAGTGGGGGGAGCAAAGTGAGGACGAGGGGAATTGGCTCATTCATAAGGAGTCTTATATGCTGAGTCCCACGAGAGGGACAGAATGCCGGAAGACATTCAGAAGAGGTATGGACAGGAACAGGCTGGGGACCCCCAGCTGGGCTGCTGGGCTTTAGCCACTCTCAGGGCCTGCACGCTGCCAGGGGGCTGGCCAGGGGCCCCACATGTGGAAGCCTGCATCTTCTCAGGGGAGCACAGACAGATCCACGACTGGGAGGAGGCAGGTGAGGCACCCAGGATGTAAAGCTGAAGGAAGCATCCTTCTTAGGCTTGTGCAGCACCTGAGGTGGGGCCAGGGGGGCACGGAGTGGTCTCTGGTTCTCTCTGGGACCGTGAGAACTTTGTGATTAGACAGGGCTCGCTTCCCTCTCCTTTCCTGCACTAGCCTGGACCCTGGTTCTACAGGTTTCAAAATCCTGGCTGTACCGGACGTTTCTCACATGGGCCTGTTAAGCAGCAGTGCATGGCCAGAGGGACATGCTCCAAGGACAGCTACAGCTAACCTCTCCTCCAGGTACACCACCCACCCACCCCAAGCCTGGCCAGGCTCTCCAGCCTCTATGAGGATAGTCAACTGTCAGCCAAACTCCTGTGTCCAGCACTCCTCTTAGTTGGTCCCTGGGCTCTCATTGTGACCTATGCATATCCTTGAATCAATTCATGGAATATCTAGCAGTTGGGTTAGCAGCCTCTCCGTAAATTTATGGCCCAGCCCCCAGTTAGCATTACCCAGTCCAGCGTCCTCATCAGTGAGGAGAGCAACATGTGGGGCCAGCAAGTCGAAGCAGGTTCCCTATTTGGGAGGTGAACATTGTTAGTTACCTCCAGATGCATGCAGCCCTTACGTTGCCTGGCCCAGTCTCAGCTTCATGATCCTCCGTATGTTTGAGTCCATTGTTAGAGTCATGTGCATTTTGAATGCTACCAACCTAGCAGGCTATTTCCCAGCTTTGAAATTGAACAGTATTCTGTTGTGATCCCTCCGGTTTCATTGGCTCATTTTGGAGATTGATTACCAATTCCTTCTTTCTAGTTTGTCTTAGTCCGGAAGTACCACTGAAACCTGCGCTTCATGGGTGATCCTGCTGATATTTGAAATATCGGTGGTATATCTTCCAACATCACAGTAACAGCGGTCACCTCAGGTTGACAGACAGGTGATGGCAGACAGATGCATTAGGGACTTGATTTAACATACACATACACACACCTGCCTGCTAGGTCCATTCCAAAGACCAGATTTATTAACCACCCTGCAATATGCAGATGATGCAACCTGGCTTGCTGGAAGTGAAGAGGTCTTAAAATAGTTACTGATGAAGATCAAAGCCCTCAGCTTTCAGTACAGATTGCACCTCAATGTAAAGAAAACAAAAATCCTTACCACTGAACCAATAACATCAAGCTACATGGAGAAAAGACTGAAGTTGCCAAAGACTTCATTCTTCTTGGATCCACTATCAACACTCATGGAAGCAGCAGTCAAGAAATAAAACAACGTATTGCATTAGGCAAATCTTCTGCACAAGACTTCTTTAAAGTGTTGAAGAGCAAAGACGTCAGCTTAAAGACTAAAGTGAGCCTAACCCAAGCCATGGTGTTTTTAGTTGCCTCATATGCTTGTGTAAATTGGACAGTGAATAAGGAAGACCAGAGAAGAATGGATGCATTTGAGCTATGGTGTTGGAGGAGAATATTCAAAGTACCATGGATTGTCAAAAGAACAAACACATCTATGTTGGAAGAAGTACAACCAGAGTGTTCCTTGGAAGCCAGGATGGCCAGACTTCTCTTACTTCGGACATACTGTAAGGAGGAACCAGTCACTGGAGAAAGATATCAAGTTTGGTAAGATGGAGGGTCGGAGGAAAAGAGGAAGCCCTCAATGAGATGGATTGGCCAAGTGGCAGCAACGCTGAACTCAGACA